ATGTAAAACTAAAATCTGAAGATTCTGTTTCTTTTAGGCCTGAAGGACGGAGAGGAACACTTCTTTTCACTGAAGTGTTCACTGTGGAAATAATGATAATAATGTTCGTTATGTCCCTAACCAATTACCTGACAGTTTTTGTTCCCCTCCCATTACAGGCTTTTGTTACACATGATTTCATGTGTAAAAGGGGGGAGTGAGTATAATGTATAAATGTTAACATGGCTGTAAAATTCACAATTTAAATTTTTCTTTTAAGGATTGACAGAAACCTTCCGCCCCAACCCAGATGTTCAAACTGAGCATTGAATGTAATTAACCTGCTCCATATCTGGGGATAAGATACTGTTTGATGAATGTTGAGATGTTTCTAAATATTGATTTGAATTATAACAGGTAACACAGAAGCAGTGGCCAAGGGGCTACTGTGAAACCGAAGAAGTTGACCTGTGATAATGAAACAATTTTGTAATATTTTAACAGACATTAGAGTAACTGAGGTTTGAAATGTAGAAAGAACATATTACAGTTAAAGCTAAAACATAGTAATGTAATGAGACAGAATTTAATTTAGACAACATCATGTAACTAGCCTGGTAAAGAAGTAAAAGCCATAGACTTTATTGTTTAGGTCATTATGGGGATATACATTTCATCTAAATTCATAATAGAAAGACATTTGATGACAGTATGTTGGAATTCTGTATTCATTTTTTCAGCGTGATAATATCTAAGCACTGACAGGTAGAAGCAGTATCACCAGGAAATCATTCACTTTGTTAGCATCGTGATTTTGGTTGTTTTTGAATCCATAACATTAGTGTGTTTCTTTACCAGAAACATTAGCAGTTCATATTAGATTTGGATTTTAAATAGGATTTCATTTAAAAATAAACACGGATGTTTGTCAGAAATTCAGAGCTATTGAAATATGTTATTTAGTTTACCTAAAGATGTTGGGGTTCTTATTTAGTTGGCACAGTCCAAGTATTAAGATTCTGAAGCTGCACTGGCAGATAGGAGGTCTACAATTAATTTAGAAAACCTGTTCACAGACGGCTGTTGTTTCAAGACACCCCACCAACAGGCTCCAAGTGGGTCAAAACAGCTGAGCGTAGGCTTGAGGGAGTTGTATCAGATTTCTCCACACAGGTCGCTGGCGCCAAAAGGGGGACCCGAGAAGCACGAGGCCGACAGCAGAGTTCGTCTGGCTGAAAGTCAGTCGTCAGGACAAAGTGGCTCAACCCCAGGCTCTCCGACCCCGACCGAGTGACCCAGCGGACCTCTTATGCCGTCTGCCTGGGAGAAAAGGGGGACAGCTCGTACCACGGGAGCCAGTGTGCGGCGGGAAAACCACCTGCTAGGACCAGGGGACGACATCAGGACGGACGTGGCCCTGGCAGACGTGGACTACTCGGAAGCAGCAGACTGGAGGAGCAGGACCCTGGAGACATCCTTACAGCAGACGACCCGGGAGGCATCATCAGCGGGCCGGAGAAGGAGGACCCTGGAGACATCTCTACAGCATCGACCCGGAAGCCGCCATCAGCGGGCCGGAGGACGAGGAGGAGGAAGACATCTCTCTAGCAGGCAGCCCAGAAGCTGCCGTCAGCGGATTGGGGGACAAAGACACGGCAAGCCATTACGGCACAGGGGACTTTTCGAGGCAGCAGAGGAGTCTACTTCGCTCTGATCAGTTCTACCCGTGAAGGGAAAGCTGCATCTCCCCCTCCCTATTAGCTGTCCTTGTGGGCTATTCCTCCGAGGGGGGGGGGGCTGATGATTCTAGCACTCAGCTACCCCCTCATGGTTCCTTCACTGCCATGGAAAGTGGTGTTCTGTCTCCATGAAGGTTTCAAGTACTCTAAATACCAGCTTCGGATGGATTTATGGACACAGTAGAAAATAATGACAGTGGGTATATTTCAAAATGCCTTGTCTAAGTTTATCTCTGGAGAAGGAGATAAAAAGGGGGATTTGTAGAGTTATATTTGTATTTATTCATGTTAGCAAACTATGGATAAGCTTAAAATGAGAATAATTTGGGTAAAACTGTGAGCTGCATTTGGGGCCTGTTGACATGTGTTTTTGAGGACAAAGGAAGATGGGGGAAGGTGAGAGCATGTCCTGATTTGCATTCAACTTAGAACGAGCTACAGTGGTTGTGATGTTAAGAGAGGTCCCTTGGGTTTCTCTGGTGGTTATCAATAGTAGCAGTTAAGTGAATACTGTTCAAACAATACCTGTGTTTGTGTTTTATATTGATTTCTCTGTTTTATCCTTTCATAAATGTAAGGACTACAAATGGCTATAAACATTCTGGGCTGGTTGGAGTAAACAGGGTTTTATTGCTCTGTGGGGGAGGTGTAGGTATGCAGGCCTTGAGACATTTTGTTGTAAAGTGAGCCTGTTTGGTTTCCTGCTGGCCAGCGTTGCGTCTCCCAATGAGATGACCTGAAAAGATGACCAGCTGACCTAACACCAAACCCCTCCTTCTTACTCTGGTATATATCCGGTGGATCCCTGGCGTTCGGCCTCTTCTTCACATGCTGCCCTCGGGTGAAAGTAGCTCTGCAGTATGCGGACCAGGGCAGGAGTAAGCCGGCATTACTCCTTAAGCATTACAATATAACTGTAATATATCATGTTGTATTGTAATGATTGTATTGCATTGTCATATTGCCATTAAAGTAGATTATTGTTAACGGTTACTTTGTAGATATGGATTCCTTCCTGTATTATAACCAGCTTCATAGGAACGCGCGGAGATTTGAAAAGCGGATCAGATATCCCTTTAAATCTCCAACACTGCACCCGACTTTTCTAGTACGAGGTGTGCCTATGGGTGCTGTCCTTTCACGGAAAGTGGTCACCACGGACGCATGTCTGACAGGTTGGGGAGGTATTTATGAAGGTCGCCCGGTGAGGGGTCTCTGGAACAGAGACCTGCAGCGGGCGCACATAAATTACCTGGAGCTTTTAGCGGTGTTTCTCACCCTAAAACGCTTTCTGTCTTTCCTCAGGGGACATCACGTCCTCGTGAGGACAGACAATACGACCACAATATCGTATATTAACCGCCAAGGGGGTTTGCGTTCTCTCCAGTTACACACACTGGCGCGCAAACTGATCCTATGGAGCGGTAGACGTCTCCTCTCTCTGAGAGCGACGCACGTACCGGGAGTGATGAACCTCGGGGCAGATCTACTGTCCAGAGGTATACCACTTTATGCAGACTGGACTCTACATCCAAGGATTGTGAGCCAGATGTGGGTGCGTTACGTGGATCTGTTCGCATCGAAAGACAACGCTCAGTGTCAGCTGTTCTTTTCGATGCGCGATCTAAATGCACCGTTAGGCGTGGATGCACTCGCGCACGATTGGCCCCCGGGCCTTCTGTACGCGTTCCCACCCCTGGCTCTGATACCCCCAACTCTGGCCAGAGTGAGAGAGCAACGCCACACACTTATCCTGATAGCTCCGCACTGGCCAGCTATGTACTGGCTAGCGGAGATATATCAGCTGCTGTGCGGGCAGCCATGGCAGCTCCCACTACGCAGGGACATACTGTCCCAAGCGGGGGGGGCAATCTTTCACCCACACCCAGAGCGCTTGGCTCTATGGGCCTGGCCCGTGAGTGGTACAATCTGAATACAGTGTGACATGAAGCTGACCCTGGCAGCTGCCAAGCGAGCCAGTGGCACTCATGCACTATCTGTACAGTCGTCATGCACTCAGTTCGCCCCAGGGCAAACAGAGTGTGGTTGAAGCCCAACCCTGCCTTTATCTTAAGGCGGTTGGTTCAGGTACCACATTTGACATTGAGGTATCCTCCCTGCCACTGTATTCCTCCGGAGAACAGCGGCCGGATTTGCCGTGTCCAGCCCGTGCTTTACGCACGTACAGGGACAGATCAAGGGTGCTTCGTCATAATGACCAACCCCTTGTGTCCTGGGCTAACCCTTATAAGGGCAAGCCTGTTACTAAGCAACGGCTCTCCCACTGGTTTGTGGAAGCAATTGCTTTGGGGCTCATACGAGTCAGAGTTCGCAGGCACCCTCGGGTCCGCGAGCTCTTTCGACTCAGGGTCTGGCTGCATCCTGGGCTCTGTCCAGGATGTCTCCCATCCAAGACATTGGTGCAGCGGCGAGCTGGTCCTCGCCGCTCACTTTTGTCCGCCTCTTAACAGGCTGGACGTTCTGTTCCCAGTGTGACTCAAGCAGTGCTGGGCACCTGGTTGAGTCAGAGCTCTACCTGTTTTCGAGATAAGCTCGTCTGACAATACGGGAGCTACAATTTCCCATAGTGAGACATCGAACGGAGTGTTATGAATGAGAACTATAGGTTACTTACGTAACCCCAGTTCTCAGAGTAACATGAAGTGAGATGTCTCACCAGACGGCCCTCCTTGCTATGGTGAAGCGAGAAGAGGTGCTTATTTTGAATGACGCATGTGTCGTGGCGCAAGCTACTTATAGAGGGTGAATTCCCTGACGCTGACGTCAAGATCACCAGCCAATCAGGATTGGCGTAATGAGATTGATGCTTTTGTTTGCTCCGCGATGAGGCGCATCCCATAGTGAGACATCTCACTTCATGTTACTCTGAGAACTGGGGTTACGTAAGTAACCTATAGTTTCTTTCTCTCCTGCACTCAGGCCCGCCAGTATCTGTTAATCAAATAGCCATAAAGGTCACAGGGAAATCCATCCAGCGCTGCCACATGAAACCAAGATACAGTATCCCAAAAGAAAGATAACCAGTGTGAGCTGCAGTCAAGTGACAAGACTTCACAAAACACGGGCCATGCTAAGCTCAGTGGTGGTTACAACAAGGTAGTCTGTACTTTACGTAACAGAGCAAAGCACAGTCATAATATTTACCTATACTGTTTATTGAAGTTTGAAATGTGATGTACATATGTCATTGTAGATTAGATGTGAGATATAATTCATGGCAGCCTCCTTCACATTGACACAACCTGCACTGAACAGACTCACCATGTGGTCTTCTCCTTGGAGTAGCGGATGCCGGGGATCTTGCCCACTCGTCTCACCACCATCCGCAGCCTGTTGTTGCCCGTCAGGACCTTCACAGCGCTGCTCATGGTGATGCTCTCCAGGCTGACCCCGTTCACCTCCACCAACTTATCGCCCACCATCAGCCCAGCCTGCTCTGCAGACACAGGTGGCCCTCAGCACGATGCACCACAGTAAATGTCACAAGGAAACAGAAGACCACATGCATAGAGGGAAGCACTGTACACTTAAAAATAAGCTTGCAGTCAGCGTGATACACACAGACACTCACACACACACACAGACACACACACACACTTTCTACTAACCTGCAGTGCTGTCATCCTCCACCTTGCTGACAAATATGCCGAGACCATGTTCAGACCCCCCACGGACACTGAACCCCAACCGCCCATCTGGACTCTTATCTACTGTCACTGTGTGAATGTCTTCACTGTCCTCGCCTCCTGCAACACCAAAGAAAAAGAAAGTCAGGTTTAATATTTCAAAACTATTTTCAATGACATCAATATTTGGTGAATACAAATTTGACCACCTTAAAGCCAAATCCTCAAAAATAGAAATAATAATTGATTGTTCCTCCAAATAGTGTGACTTTTTTCAACCATGATTCACTGAGGTATATTCATGTATGTCTACTAGGGCTGCAACTGACAGTTATTTTCATTAGCAGTTAATTTGCCATTTATTTTACCAATTAAGTAATTAATTGTTTTGTCAATAACATATTTGTTAAATAACTTCCCAAATTTGGATCAATAAAAGTAAATCTTAACTTATCCTATTAACATTTCAGAAAATAATAAAGAAATGTCATCTCGTCATTTCATTTCAAGTTTTCATATTCAAAACTAAAGTCTGTATATTTTTGCATATTTAAGTAATCGAATATGGTTCAACCAAACAATGAATCAAGTAAACATTCTAGCTAAAATATATTGCATTATTGTTGATACACTTGCTTTCTCTGACACATGTGGCGGAACACATTTCTAAACTTGAATGACTGACTGAACGACAATTGTGTGCCTCTCAAGCCAGTGGCATTTTTTTTGTGTCACCATGGTAACAATTCGTTTTGTTGCCTAAACTAAAAGAGATATCTGGAACATAGCACACTGTGAACTCACCATCAACAGGTGAGTTGATGAGAATGACCCGGCCCATCGGGGAGGAGGACCTGCGTCTGTGGCGGTGGTGTTTCTTCTGCATGTAGCGCGGTGTGCTGTGGGAACCCCCGGTCTGGCCACCATGGTTGTAATGGGGGTGCCCTCCTCCATTTGTCATCTCCCTCCAGCCAGAGGGGTGAGGGGAGCGAGCCATGCTATGTGTCTGGCAATCCTTCCCTTAGTCATCCAGACAGGAGGATATCTGGAGCCTGCTGTCAGGATGGAAGAGATGCAGCCTGGGATGAGGGTATGGATAAGGAGGACAAGTGTGGTGGGGAACTGGAGTTTTCTTGCACTTGCTGGTCCAAAGTGGAAGACAAAATACTTGAGGTGGTCCAAACTAGAGCAGGCAACTTACAAGGCTCCAGGCAACATCTCTGATCTTTATTAAAAAAACACTTTCTGACCAAACACAAGGCCTAATAAAATAATCCAAGGTCCAAAAGAGAAAATGCAACATGAAAAAACTGAAAGCTGAGCTCTAGCTGAAGAAAACCAATGGCGAATTAGTTCCTTGATCCATGATTGAACTGTTGACTTTACTTTGTAGGTTAAAGAAGTTGTTATATTCCACTTGTTTCCTTTGCAGCATCTGAATCTCTCTCCATAGAGCTCACAGTGCCTGTGTCCCGGCCTTCAGCTGCTGCCGGCCTGTCTGCAGAGAAGTCAGCGGTGCATGTTGATTCCCCTCGAGTCATGTTTAATTGAATGGATATCTGTTGTGAGGACAATATACTGTGAAGAGTAATGTGGGCTCAGAAGAACCTCATGGGATAAACTCATTTTGGTTAAGTAATTACCTTTAACCTGGGACCTTGAATAGAATAACATTTAATAAAAATAAAATAAAAACGTTTTAAACAGAGTCTCTCATTTAACTTAACTTGTTTATCGATCAGCACTATGGACAGCGTCTAAAAGACACTGAAATGACACTTTGACAGGTCATTATAATCTATTCCTAACAAACTAAACTTTTGAACTAGCCTACTTGTTGTTTTTTGCGAAGTTTCGGTAAACTTTAATCAAACTGTTAATACCTCAAAACGTGTAACGCTACAAAGCTGTAACATCGTGACATATCGTTAAAATAAAGTGAATTTGTATGAGAGTTACCTGCTGTGTGTCCATGTTGGTCCATTGGTCCGCCTTGCTGACGCATTATTATCGGACACCTCCGGAGGATTAGTGCCACCCCAGTAGTTCTCCAGGTGACAATTGTTGTCCTATAAGGTTAAACCTTTTACATAAGCCTCTGCAGCTGTGCAGCCATTAGCGCTGAAGTAATGATGATTAAGTACACCAATAGGAGTTATATTACAGATACACTGCCTCAAGTCTGTCAGGTTGTTAATGTGTCCATTAAGTCATTGTTTCCCCGTAAAACTGCAGAGATGTGTGGAGAAAGTGAGCTGTGGATCTTCACTCCTGTCTGTGAGGTGGGTAAACAACCCCACCCGGTGGTCAGATGTGTCCCATCACAACCTAGTTCCGATTATATGCAGACCCCAGGGTATTTATTATCAGTCATAATTAATAACAGTGAAACTGTAGAGAAACAGGAAAGTACGACATTGAAAATCTTTATGTTTTTATTCGAAAAAACATCAAGATTTGCACATCAAAGAGAGACCAGCTTGAACAATAGCCCTATGTATTTTTTCAAAATAGATATAACTATCATAGACAATATAAAAAATATTATACTATAGACATATTAATATATATGACTATACTATTAGGAAATAGTATAGTGTTACAGAGACCTGATATGATGTGTATGCAGCCTTATTTCCATGCTTTTGTGTTTTTCTGGTAATTTCTTTCAAATACTAATATCATAACAAATAACCGTTTATAAAAATTAAAAACGTTTACTTGCTCTAAGAATAAATACCTAAAATATAGTTTACATTTTTTTTTAATGAGACGCTTGTAATCAAAGTAGCTGTAATGTACAACTTTTGAAAAAGCTAAAGTACAAAACAACCTTGAGCCAGTCAGCTGCTTTTTAACCAATCATGTGTTGTCTTCCCTCCCACGCCCAGGGGTTTCCATCTGCTCATGTCCTCCAAGACGTCACAACGCCCCCAGTATTTCACTGCACGGTGCTGCTTTCAAAGACCTGTACGAAGCTCTGATTTCCGGAACTCAACCTCACATGGACTGATATGACAGTGTTTTAACGATTTTTCTCTAATAATGTTTGACCAAAAATGTGCATTGTATGTCTTTACAAGAAAGGATGAGATGCTGTTGTTACAGCAGCACAAAGATCAAATATGAGCAGAGTAGAAAATAGAGGGGGATGAAATCAAAGTAAATTAAAAATAAAGTAATAATACTTAAATAGTTACTATCAATCAATAATGTTTATTTGGAACACATTTACAAAATACAGTTCCAATTAAACATATAAGAGTAATTAAAGAAAAAGTTAAGGCACAAAACTGACAGTATTGACTGAGATTACCTATACTAAAACAGTATAAAAATATAAACAGAATAATATAGTACAGTATAATATTGTAAAAGATGTAAGATAGGTGGAATGTAGTTAAATTGGGTAGAACAGAAAAAAATGTATGGGCTACTTTCCTACATACCTCATTTTGGTTGAAGCTGTGTTTTACGATACTTTTTAATGTATTGAAAGCAGCACAGGTCCACCCGGTGGAGCTGTGTTATTGAGAGGTCATACATTTTCGCAAAACAACGACTGTAAACCAGGTACGTCTCAGTATTGCCTGCATTAACATCTTTAATACATTTAAATCACAATACGGATAAGTCACCGTTCACTTCGACTCGCTGTGTGTCCTTGTTACGTTGTTAAGTGTATGAGTTAGCTTGTAAACTACCTGGCTAGCTTGACGTTAGTTTACCATGAGAGCACAGAAATTGTTCGTTTTGATGCCTTGAGAAGGCCCTGTTTAATACCCTTTAACCTACAATTTGATATTCTAGGGATTTGATTTTGTTTCACAGTCAAGAGTGGATATTTCTGTACTCTATGTGAGTTTCAATGGTATTATCAGGTAACTTGCTAGCTTTTTAGCAAGGCTCCAACCGGCATCGTGTCGTGACTTCCCCAATCCCATCTGTCAGTGAATGTGTCACGATATTCATTTAATCATCTCCTCACAGTGTTTCTAGTTAGGCGTTTATACTGAAAGGTTACATTGTATTTGTAAGGAGAAACACAACCAGGACTTTTTAGTGTGTTCAGTAACAGTTTGTCTCTATAATCCACCATATCAGTTGTATGTATTATGGAAGTGTCTTGTTAGAGCCATTTGCATATTGCAGATGTTTTTAAAGACGGTCATCTGCTTAAAGCTGCAGGGCTGCTGCAAAATGAGCACATACAGTACATTCCTGTACTAGTTTAGTGTAAGTGTTCAGCCAGAGGAGTGTCTCATGTGCACTTGGTGAAAATGTGTAAAGGTAGAGCTGTTTTGAATTTGTGTTGTATATTTAAAGCAAAAATGCGTGTGGCATATTTTTTTAACACTTTGATGACATTTCTCAACTAATCAAGGTAATATTAATATGGCAGATTAATGTCGATAATTAAAAACATTGTTAGTTGTAGACCTAAATAGTGGTTTGTCAAACACATACAAACACCATAAGTGCTAACCTAAATTTCCAGCACAGTTCGTTTTCAGTGTAGATCCTTTATCTTGACCTAACAGCCACAGCTGATAGAATATGTTTGAGACAAGCCTGAACCTGGTACATGCTTTTAAAGAACCTATCATCCATGACAAAAGCCCCCCTTTAACACAGTGACAACAGCAATTGGAGCAAATTATCAACATTTACCTGTGTCCTTTTACATTTTAAATGTGTTGAGAGGGAGAACATGCTTACAGCAGGTAAGCCTGGTTGACTAGTAGTCAGTTTGGGGTTATTTGCTCAGAAATGTATGTTGTGTTCAGTGATGGGGGAGGGGGCTTCAGCTCAATGCAGCGCTGCATCGTAGAAGAGTTATTAATAGAGTGAGGTGGATGAGACTGAACTCCATCCAAGGTTGTTGTTTATTTGAATGATGATTTCACCTGTGGGGCTGGGTGTCATCATTAAGAACATGACCAGCCTGTGAAGTTCAGGGCATAACTGGAAACCCTGTATGGCAATAATTGTTCCTCTGAATTACTCTCAAAATGTTACACTTAAATGTACCTGTGAAACCAGTATAGATGTGTAACATCATGGTATGAATACTAATTCACATGTCTGCTAATAATTAAAGAGAGACAAGATGTCTGAAGATCTATCCCTCAACATAAACATCAAGGAGCCAAGATGGGACCAGGGCACGTTCATGGGGCGCGCCAAGCACTTCTTCATGGTGACAGATCCCAGGAACGTCCTGCTGTCCTCGGACACTCTGGAGGACGCCAGAGTGACCATGGAGAACTACAGGTAGATGGTAATAAGATATAAGGGTAGAGTAGGAGTGAAATAAAAGAATCCTATGTAACAACCATTCAAATCATATTCTAAGTAGTATAAATACTAAATACTGTTCTTCATTTCTTCTCTAAACTGTACATGTACAAGTCTATTTGTGATGTGAGGATTCATGCTTGTTGTACCTTTGTTTTACAATGCAAGAAGAAAATGCTGAGTTTGTGTAATGACCGATGCTTTATGTGGAAATACTAAATAATACTCTGTATTGACTTTTTTAGATCTGGGGTGGTGAAGCCTGGCCTGACAGAGGATGAGCTCTGGAGAGCCAAGTACGTCTACGACTCCGCCTTCCACCCCGACACCGGGGAGAAGATGTTTGTGATTGGCCGGATGTCCGCTCAGGTGCCAGTGAACATGTCCATCACCGGCTCCATGCTCACCTTCTACAGGTAAAGCAGAAAGTTCAATACACAATTCAATGTATTCTAAATAACTGAAAATATCTTCATCTCAACAACATTTTGAAAATAGAAAAAATATATATATTGAGGAAATACTTCATACATTTAATACAGTTTCCATGTGAAACCAAAGTAATCTTAATACAGCTAACAGCACTGCATAAAGTAGAGATTTTAATCCCTGCAGAATAAAAAACATCACTCTCACTGCTGAACACTTATGAATAAATATTGGGCAGCTGAGAGGACTGTGGAGTCAAGTTGTAATGTTGAAAACACATAATATAAATAACCAGCCTGTTTTCTGTATTTAATTATTATTGAATGTATTAATTATTCATATATAGTCATTCCAGATTTAATTCTAGCATACTGCAACTCGAGGGCGCCAAAGTCTGACATTTAAATGTTATAAATAGTGGCTTTTAAAAGTAACAAAGCGCACCGCAAGTAGTCGAGTTAATTCAGGGCCAGTGTATTCATTAAATAATACACAACACACTTTTAGCTTAATCTGTACTGAGTGATTAAGAAGACCAAATCAGAGGAACTTGTGCCTCGTGACACAAAACCTAACAAGAAGTAGAAAACCCCCATGTCTGGCGACGTGTTGTGGTGGTTAACCATGCTCCATTAACACGTGTCTTGATCTTTATCTCATGCATACCCGCACAAAACTGTTAGTTTGACTGATGTAAATATTTCCTAGTTGAAGTCCAAAATAAGTTATCATTGAGAAAACATGCAGTTTGCTACTTAAAGTAAATTACCTACATTCTTTCCACTGTGGGGATTTGAGAAACACACACATAAAAGGTGACTATCGATTGGTCGACAAAATAGAAATAATCGCAAACTATTCTTGAAGTAACCCTTAGTTGCAACCAAAAATGGTAGACGGTCAGATATTTTTGTTGAAATCAAACTCTTCTTCTGCTGCGGAGCCCAAAGTGTAGTTGTGTGTGAAATGTCACTTCCTCAAACACAGTTGTTGTTCCTTCTTGTCTACAGGACTACTCCGGCAGTGGTGTTCTGGCAGTGGGTCAACCAGTCCTTCAACGCCGTCGTCAACTACACCAACCGCAGCGGAGACGCACCAATGAGCGTGAAGTAGGGAGGACTTCTCTCACTCTAGATCATTCCTGTCCTCCCTCTAAAGTAGTGTCTGTAAGGAGGCTGTGGGAGCCGCTGCCCTCTCCCCTCCCCTCACAGCGGTATTACGTTCCACTGTTTAGCATGTTCAGCCCCATGTCACCATGCACCCGTGCTGACATGATGCCAAGTCAAAATGTACTTGCATACTCTTGTCATTGTGCCACAAACTGCATCCTTCAGACTCTGCAGAAATACATCAAATGCATGCATGCATGAAGAATAGAGGGTTGCCTTCAGAACATGCAAATACATATTCATGTATTAAGCATGTCATTTAGGATACATGTTAAAGTGTCATCCTCTGCATTATCATTTTTTCTGGGGAATTTATTTTACCTTTGCATATTCAAGCATAGCATGAACTTGCACACTTACTGAGGCGACTCTACTTTGGAGATGTGTCAGTCGATTCTCAGACCTATTTATGATGTGTTGAAAAAGGAAGTGGGTAATTTATCTCTGATCTGCATCTTATCTGTCTCTCCACAGTCAGCTTGGTGTGGCCTATATCAGCGCTACTACTGGAGCTGTAGTCACTGCCTTGGGATTCAAAACTCTAGCTTCGGTAATGCCTGTAGTTCAAGTGAATCAACAGATATATCAAAGTCACTCGTATAACGGATATTTGTGCAGGGATCAGTTGTCTGAATGTGTTTCTGTTCCTGCCTCTACAGCGTCTCCCTCCAATCGCCAGCCGGTTTGTCCCCTTCGCTGCAGTTGCTGCTGCTAACTGCATCAACATCCCTTTCATGAGGCAGAGGTGAGATCTCCAAATGTAAAGCCAAAGACCTCTGGTCTGTTCCCTCAGGGCAGGAGCTTTTAGGAGCCGCTGCAACTGCTCTATATGACTTCTGTTTTCTTCCAGGGAGTTGAAGTTCGGTATCCCTGTGATGGATGAGAATGGGAACCGGTTAGGAGAGTCCCCCAATGCCGCCAAGCAGGCCATCATGCAGGTGGTGGTGTCAAGGATCGGCATGGCAGTGCCAGCAATGGGTAAAGTCAACATTATGTCTCCTGTTTGGCTAGTCATGAACCTACTTGTGGATCTAAAACATGATGGTAGTTGATGGGATGAGAGTAAAACGACATACACACGACATCTATTGGACGTCTGTCTCGTGGGAGAGGGATCCCCTCCTCTGTTGCTCTCCCCGAGGTTTCTTCCATTTCCCCCCATGTGAGGGTCCAAGGACAGAGGGTGTCATATTCTGTTTAAACTGTCCCCTCAGACAAATGTAAAATATGTGATATTGGGCTGTATACCAGAGTTCCCGTTAGCCGGTAATTACCGGACTACGACCGGTAAAATATGCTGAAGACCGGCAAATCTAAATCTCTCCGGTCAAAGTGTCCGTTCAAAAATAATTTCCGTTTAGCGCAATACCGCATCAGTTGCGCAATTTGCGTTGATCTGTTGGTAATGCCTCAGGGTTCCGGTGGGCATGTAAACAAATGCATAATGCTGCGCTATACTTTGTGGCCTCACCCAGTTGCATAGCGACGCTTATTGTTTAGGTGTCTTTTAATAAGCAGGTAGTCCTATCATTAGCTAGAACTAGCTGGATCTGATCGATATGGACATAAACGCGAGTGAAGTCTAATCTGACGGGAGAGAGAGATCAGCTGCTGCTGACGAGTCGACACGCAGCTCTGCATGATCACATGCAGCGGTGAGCGGACAAAACACACACTTCAGGTTAGAATATCACACATAGCTATTTTAATGACCTCTCAAACTACCTAAACTAGTTATAGATACGTTTAGTTTTACTGTCGGGTCACTCATTGCTGATCCGCGAGCTGCATGATACTGACGGGCTGTCAGGAGAAGGAGAGAGCGCTCCGTTTATTATTCCCGTGTTATTATAATTACTGTACACTTTTGAATAGTTAATCTACTATGATTAGTTTGTTTAATATTGAATCATATCAATTTGTTTTAAAGCACAATAAATAACAAAGAAGACCTTTGACCGGCACTTTTCTCATTTTGTGACAAATGCCGGTGACATTTTGACATGTTGACCGGCGAAAAAATATTCTAACGGGAACTCTGCTGTATACATTAACTTAATTGATTGAAATTAAATTATTACCTTGATAGACCAAAGCATACTCCTAGTTAGGATAATGTTTTTAAAGTTTGTTTTGCGTTATTTTTGTGTTGGCACAATAAGGTCACACTTTAGATTACACCTCATTTTATTTTTTTGGTAAGGGAATATTATGATTTATTTTGTTGTATAAGATATATTATTATTTAACAACTTTCATAACTGCAGGGTCAATTTGTTGGATTATGAATCAACCAATTTTCTTTTCTTTTTTTCGACAGCCATTCCCCCTGTTATTATGAATTCCCTGGAGAAGAAAGCTTTCATGAAGGTAAGCATGCATGACTTTCAGACTCTTGTTGTTTTTTAGTAAGTGGATGTCCTGGATCTGCTGTTGTTTTTGTGAGGCTGAAAAGAGTCATGTCGCATTCCACATGTTACATGAATGCTTATGTCCATGTAGTCAAACATATCAAATGTTCAAGTTGTCTGATTCACTGCAATCTTCTCTAAACATCTGTACTCTCCCTGCAGCGGTTCCCACTTCTAAACGCTCCAATCCAGGTTGGACTCGTCGGTCTATGGTAAGTCAATTACATATATATTATTTATGATGTCATTTTTGATGGACTCTATTCTCTGTACTTTCAAATATGCAAGTCACACTGACTAAACACGTCCTTCCCGTGTCTTGTTTTCAGCCTGGTGTTTGCAACTCCTCTGTGCTGTGCCCTCTTCCCACAGAAAAGGTAAGCACCCACATCAAGGAGCTTATACATGTACAAGCCGTCTTATCTTACGTGTAGAAGGACATTAAATCATGTTGAACCATCTCATTGTAGCTCTATGAGTGTGAGCGGGCTGGAAGCAGATCTGCAGAAGAGGATACGAGAGACCAGTCCCAAGACCACCACCGTTTTCTTCAACAAGGGCCTGTAGGATCTCACAATACATCTCCACACACTGCAGACACACACACACACACACATTTACACACACGTCTGTTATCCCAAGGGCACAAGTGGGAGGGTAAAACAAAATGTATTTATGTTCCTTTTTTGTATGTACAATCTTTCGAATTTGACTGAGCTGCTCGAAGTTTGACAATTTAGGGTTAAGGCGTTGAGAATATTGAAGGTAAAAAAAACAACACTGACATTGCTCTCTGTGTACATAGATGACACTCCTTACAAAGAAAATAATGAACAGTTTTTATTGTATTGTGGTGTGTTTTCTGTCTTCCTTCCTTCCTTTGGTCAAAACTGCCTTTTAGGGGGTCAGTTCATGAAGTTATTGATTTGTTTTTCACTCACCAATATGTATATGTTGCATTTAGATTCCTCCATGTTTTAAGTACTTTGCTAAATTGTTGTGCTTATATTGGCGTTTGGTTGGTCTCCCTACATTTAGTTTTCCACTTTCTAATTATTTTCTAGCCAGAGATACAATATTCTGCTTTTGAAAATAGTATACTACACTGACTAGTATGTATAGATTCTTGCCACCAATTAATGTCCACCTTGTAGTTCAACCATGTGGCCATACTAGAAAAATGATGTTTATTAGCTCTGAATAGTCTTTTTGTTGTACTCCTTGTTAACCGGAGCAGCTTACTCTCTTCATTTCTCCTTTAAGTGTACTTATACCCCTTTGTGATAATAGATCAGGTAATCAGGTGCAGTGTGGCAGAGAAGAACAATTGAAATGATATTGCAAAAGCCCTCAAAGCACAGCCGCAGAGGGCATCAGCGAAACCATTAGTGCGTGTGCTTTTGATCAACGTAAATGAACACTTGCCATGGCAGTGACAGCCTTCTGTTGTTTGAGATCACTTTCTAAACTAGTGCCGTTGCTATCTTTAGGGTCATATTAATGATGTTATTGTTGTAGGTGGTGGTGCTTGTGTCAGGTGGAGGAATATTGTTTGTAATGTGTCTACATGTTGCTAAGATGAAATGATGTGACTTGTGTGTTCTAAGCACAGCCACATGCAGAAGACAGACAATAATGTTATGCTGTTTCGGCCACACTGGAACTGAAGCGTTGAGTGAGCAGGTCGGAGGAAGCTCTTTCATTTCAGTTCCTCCTTCGGTGATGCAGGTTTTATATGTGCAACCGCTAGCCAGCCATGTGCGAAACTGTTGTTAGCACTGGAGCCATTGATGACCCATTGTACCAAATGGAAATGGTTGTTGTTGTTGTTGGACAAAATCAAAATACGGAGCACAGTGTTTGTTGTTGCGTTGTTGCAGTGGATAGATTGGCTGAGTGTAACTGTGTGGTGAGATAGTGATGGTGTACGTGAGTAGATATCACATGAAGTTATCCCAGTGTCGTCTGTTGGATTATGCAAAAATACATATTTTTTGGATATATTTCTAAATATATATATATGATGTACAATATATGGAGCACATATGCACGAGGAATATAAGAGATTGTAGCTTTAAGGTGAGCCTGTTAGTGAATTCACCAGATGGCAACACATATGCATCGGAAACAATGTCAGCTGCTCGTATTGACGGAGAACAGAGAGAGGGGTTTGCTGCAAACTCATTCGAGCGAGTGCACCTTTTAGGGCTTATGAGTTTTCAGATTAGAGGGGCGCTCCTCTAGTGGGAATTAACTTGATAACGTGTACACAGTCATAGATTTAAAACTATGATTCAATATTTATGTAAAGTGATGTTTTGTGTAAAACTATACCCAACATGAAGATTGTACAGGCCTTTTCACACGTAAATTCACCTCCATTAAGCTCCTGTAGTCACTGGTTTCTAAAAAGGTGTTACAGTGATGCATTTAAAGTAAACTGATTGTGGGCACTGAAGCATCCGCACAATGATTGTGTTTATGTGATCCTACAATTCAAGGGTTTAATCCCAAAGTGCTATCAGATCATTTTATAAACCCACAGACCCTATCCTGAAATACCGTCTTGATATGGCTCCTCACTTCTTTAGGAGAATTATTGTATTATTTTGTCTAATTTGAAAAGGAAATGTTTCTTTGAACTCTCCATTTTCATTCAAAAACAAACACTCATTCCCCCAGATAATAGATAACTGTTTCTGTAACACTGAGACATGATCACACGCACTGCCGGACAGTGTTTCAGAGTTAGATTCACTACTGTATTCAAACATTCGATACCATGGCTGCATCATTAAGAGATATTTGTGTGTTGTGTTTGGGGTGTTTTCCTGCGGAGGGTGAAACGGCACTATAGCCTTTGCGGTGCTAGGATTTGTATTACTATTTAAAATGTTTAATGTTGATTGTATTTGTTAATGGTGCTGGACGATGTAGAATGAACTATGGTTACTGCTAATTAGTAATTCAGTCATTGTCTGGCAGATTTCATTGCTCATAACCAAGTAGCTTTAGCTTGTGCTTTATTTCCTTTTGTGTTTTTCTTTTCTTTGAATTATGGCACGAAAGTGTCAAGAACAAAACTGAAGGTTTTTACCATTTGAATACATTTGTAAACATCTCAGCTTCGGCCTGTATCGTACCACCGTAACGTGTCGAACTAATGGATCTAGCCAAAGATGAGACGGGTATGGATTGTGGAGGAATGAGGAGCAGAAGGGTGTAGCTTTGAATATTTATGTTTCAGCTTTAACTTACGGACCTTTTGCCAGACTTTCTGCTGCAAAAACATGTTTTCCATTATATTTCTTATTAGAAAGGGTCCTCAACTTTATCAGTGTAACCCACCAAATCTTACAAAAACATTGCAACGTTAACAAATAGCATCTAAAATAAATGCCAACACACATTTTAGTTAAAAGTCCTGTTTTTGGCCTCGATGTTACAGCCATTACAATACAATCTCATAACAAACAAGATAGCACAAGTTAATGTTGTCACACTGGTTGAAAACCCACTCATTTATAACTTTGGTTGTGTGTGCCATGAAGAAAATGTTGAATCTTTGCATACTGAAGGCTCGATGGAAAGACAATCTGTTATTGTTACACTCCTTGAATGTTTTGGTTGTTTCATGTACATAAACTTCCACATGTAGTCCTGTCAGTATTGGTGCTGTGCTTTCTCTCTCTATTTTCTATTGTGTTGAAATATATATTTCCATGATGTGGAATGTATTTTACTCAGAGCAATAGAATAAAACATATAACGTTAAAGTCCAAACCTGTCTGCTGATTTGACTTTATTAAACATTGTATATTACAAATGTTCTTTAATGTTATCCTGCTTGTGGGGAAATAAAGAGTGGAACACCCAGTTTGGATCAAAAGGTTTGTTTGTTCAAATACCAGTCAAGTATAAAACAATACGATTACACTGAGACAGTCATCTGATTTGGTACAGTATCTTTTGGCTACACACACACACACACACCAAGCCCTTGACATACAAACATGATTACAAGTCTAAGTACAATCTTGCCTCGGTTGAGATTGCTGAGGATAAAATAATTTAACGTTGATTATTGGTGAATGTTTATTAACATCCTGAGCTTTCAACAGAAAATAAGCCTTGGTTTTTAGAATAGTATGTAGATATTCTGTTTGGGACTAATATTTATAATATAACTATTACATGTATTTACCAGAAGGATGTGAACAAACTGGTGTTTTTCTTAATTTAAGTTGTTTCACTGTATATTTAGTGCTACAGGACAACACACAGGATTGATTAATAAGTAACAGGATCATCAAACTTCAGGAAAAAGGGAGTGTGTATGTTAATGAATAATAGATGGATGTGATAAGATATAACTCAGACTGGTATCTCGTAAAAAAAAAAAAAGTATAATAAGTAGGAAGGCTTTCATTTAGAAGAATTTAAAATCTGAATAAACTAGTAGTCAAATTATTTTTCAAAATGCACATTTCTAATATCTGAAAAAGTAAATGTATACAAATACATAATAGCATACCAATGGTGGATGCAGAGTATCACACACACAACAGTGTTCTAATTTATAACAGCAAACAAGTGTCTCTGGCAGGGTGGGAATTTCACGACGGCCACGGCCGTCGTTGCCCCGCACTTTGGCCGTGATGCCCTGTGAAAAAAAAAAAAATGCAATTCACGGCCAAAGTGGCCTTGGTGCCCCTGTCAAAAGTTCCAGTGTAAACAACGCTAGTAAAGTCATATTAGTGCGCGCAGTAGGATAGTCCCGGGCGATGCCTGTGCCCTGTGGATCAGAGCGATTGCTCTGCTGTGATTGTTCCGTCAGAAATGCCTGTAGGGGCCCGACAGCCTGCTCCTCAGCCGCGGGAGCAAGACAAGCACAGGTAAGCAAGCGGACCAAGCTGTTTTGATATGATTTAACTGAAGTATGTGGTAGTATTTGAAAGGACTTAACATTTACGTGTTTATAGAAAGTACTATTGATAGGTAATTACCATTGTATTAGCCTATTTAAAGTTGACTCGTTACATTTTGTCATGAAAACTAGCGATAGCTAGCTAGTTTGGATAGCGCTAACGTCTTCCCTTCAAGGGGTCTACATCTAGTGTTGCTTCTACAAGCTAGCAGATAGCTGTCACCTTTGAATCTAGTATTTTTCTTGCTAAGCGGTTTTGATATAATACATGACTGACTTATGTGGTTTATGGCTGAACTTAACGTATACGTTAAAGAAACACTATTGCTATTCAGCCATTTGTAAAACGACTGGTGTTGACGTTATTGCTACACTTTTCAGTCATGTTGATTGACCAGCGTAATTTAACCAAACGGCCTTTGTGCCCTGTCATGTGGCCTTTGTGCCCCGTCATGTGGCCTTTGTGCCCTTGAAAAAAATGTGAACGGGAAGGCCAAATGGCCTTGCCCCTAAAATGACGAAATTCCAAGCCTGGTCTCTGGTATACAGTAAGTTAAAACACACATTTAAATATACCTGCCAGAAAATCCAACTATCTGTGTTCTCATTGTCCAAATGTTATATTAAAAATACATTTACTGGAGTTCGAAGAATGTTTTACTAACATATACGTAAGTTGGTCATGCGTTGCCCAAACATTCATTTTAAATATTAAAATAATGAAACACACAAGGGCACAGGTGAAATATTGTGATGAGGTCTTCTTTATTTATTACTTTCATTTTCTTGAGTTTACTTTCACACACTCCGTCACACACACACACGCTCCAGGCAGCACAAACACTCCTCAACATGGCGCCAGTGGCTGAGCCGGTGTGTGTTTGAGCATCAAACCTGCTCCTCTCTATGTTGAGTTTGGAGACAGGTTGTCATTATCACACACACAGGCTGCACACACACCTGTCCGCCATGCTAGAGGTCCGTTGTGGCGCCTGACCAGGAGAAGCAAACAGAGAAAGTGACACACAGGAACATTGTTAGAAATGTACCGCTAACAGGCAGCTAATAGAATAGCTAATCAAATGCAACCCAGCCTTAGTTTGATTCATGTGGTTCTCTAAAAGGAAGATTTCAAGTGTCTTTAAGTGGCTGATGCACCTGAATGAAAATGCTGCCTTTAAGTCCCTTACTACCTGTTTTTAATACCCGTCGCACCTTCTTCTAGGTGTCCGCAGAGATAAACAAGAATAATAAGTGTAATATTGTCCTGAATTTCACAGCTTTGCTTTCGTAAGTGCAAATGAAGAAATATATTGTGACTTTATACACCACAAACTTAAATGTCGTTATATTACAGTGATGGACGAATTGTTATTCTAGTTTTGATCTAAAAACACCTATGTTTAATGCTTAAAAAATGACTTATTTAACTGGCACAATTTTCTTAACAGCCTCCAGAACTTCTGCAGTGTCCACTTTGTTGCCAAACTCCTTCTCCCGGTGTTCCAGGAGAATCCCCTGCAGACACAACAAGCATTTAAAATACCGTTTTATCTCAAATCTCCCTGTGTGGTCCACATGTCTGCTACACCCACCTGGTCTCCTGCTCCGACGACAAACACTCCCCCCAGGATGAAGCCCTCTCCGTGCATGTTGCCCTGGTAACCAGACCTCCATGCCCGGATGAAGTTCTGCCACACGCCGAGGCGAATGAAGCCCAGACCCCCCATCTTCCTCTGCAGCGGGCCGTAGAAGTGTTGCTGCAATCACAAAAATAACTTTCCGTCGGCCTGATCAAGTTCATTATCATACAGGATTTCCTGTGATGTGACGAAATTAAAATGGCTTTATCATATGTTAACTCTCAACTTGCCCCTGGCAGATGAATACAGTTATGCAAAGAGATCTCTAACTAGTTCTCAACATGTACTTTTATTTCAAATAACTAATGATTAATAGACTATTCCCCATCAAAGGGTCATGAGAAATGTATGTCAATGGCTTAGCTAACAAAGTCTGTCATGAAAATAAAAGATAGAATAAGGAATAAGACTATTTTAAGTGCAAAGTAGTTTAGATGGACTGACAGGAAGGTGAGTACTAACAGTGGCTCTGGAACAGGTGATGTTTTCTACCACTGCTTACCTTTTCATCTATGTAGATTTCCCCAGCGAAGTGCGGTCTGAAGTCCTGGATCTCTGTGCCGATGTTCTCCTTCACGACAGCGACCAGAGGGACTCCGAGCTCTTCCAGCTGGGACTTCAGAGAGGACAGCTCAGAGGCCTCCTACAGAGAGAGAGAGATTAGAACAGAAAGTAAGATATCATTCTTATAAACTGTACAAACTCAGCACCCTCTCCTGTGTCATTCAGAAACATTTGATATCACCTCTCTGCACAAAAATCATCCAGGACGTCGGACGGCCATGACCACAGCCCCGTTCTTGTCCCACAGGCTCTTTGCTTTGATGACATTATCATCTGTAGATAAAACAAGAAGAAACCGTTCCTAACACAAGCTATCCAATCTGATGTGTCTCAAGCACAAGAAGATAAAACATGCAGCCTTCAAACAGAGAAAAGACTATTTGTCCATGGTGGCACAGAACATCTATATGTATTAATAACAGTTACTAGCCCTTCGGCTTCAGACAAAGATCTTCACAGTGATATAATCTGTAGGCCAGCAGATTTCAGAAAGCGGCTTTGCTTTAAATGTTGTACAAAACCTCATTCAGAGCATGTGCAATGCAGAAAACTGGAAATGTCTGATTCTGCTGATGTAATGTTAATTCTCCTTCAATGGGTTTAACAACAGCTGGTTTTAAAAACAAGCGTATTGGTTGAAACATTATTACATAGAGCAAATCAGAAAGCCTTCCTACCATCTATGGTGGAGCGCAGGTCAGCCTCTTCAAGGTGCTCCATCGATGCCTGTGAAACTTTAGGCAGACACATATCAGTGTTGGCCAGGAAGATCCCAGCGAGCGCAGCTCCGACAGCCCCCAGACCCAAAGACCACATTCCCATCCCGAACAGATCCCCCTCCAGCCCGAAAACAGAAGACACTGCAGCACAAACAGGCACCAGGAGAGCAATGTGTCACAAGTTTGACATTATCATAATGAAAGAAGAAACATTCTGCATGTCGATTATACAGTTTTTGCAGACCTGAGGTGCCAGATGTGCCGACTATTAGATATTACCACGTTCCCTCCTTCTCAAAACTCCCTGAAGACAAGAGTTCAACAAGACCTAGCTTGCCGCTTGCAGTCTTGAGTTTCAGCGTAGTGTTGAACGAGAGCATGTGGTGCCTTTTACCAGCAAAGCCTCTTCTGACTTTACTCTTATCTAAAGCTCATCCAATGAGATTAAGTATTGCACATACTAAGGAGATGAGATGCTGTTCAACATGACGAGATAACAAGTCTGTAAATTATATTCTTTACAGCAGCTTGTGTGGTTCTTGATGAGTGGGCTTTCGATTGTACTTTAAATTGTTATTTTTCCATTAGGAAATCCTTCAGTGTAATGTCAGGCATAATTCATTACTCTCCAGATTATTTTCTCAATGAATAATTATCAAAAATAGTTGCAAATACAAGTGTTTTTTTCATTACTTTTTTTCATTAAGTAAAGCTTTTTATCTATCAACTTTGGATGAATCTTCACTAGTCCTAAAATATCCTAAAACTCCAAACTTAGTAATCTTTCCAAAAACCTTTGACAATGCTTCAAAGATTAAAGTAATACATATATATTATGTCTACTTTCATAACAACTTCAAGAGTAACTCAAAAGGGCGGGGGGGGGGGGGGGTCACAGAGCTCACAGAGCACAAAGCTGTGCTCAGGTCACAGCTTTGTTTCTACAACATGCTTAAAGTGTGGGTTATAGGAAGAGCTAGCTGTGTAGGCAGTCAAATATGTCCTTGCCTGAAGAGGGCTTGTTTGTGTCAGGACTGGCTTTGGCTTCACTTTGGTGAAACAGAGCTGTCTGGGTTCTTAGAGACGGGGGTCTGGCTGTGGTGGAGGGCTGGCTGCTCATGGTCGTGGCCCCCAGAGAGAGGGCAGAGCAGCGCGGGGACCTCAAAGCTGCCGGACACCTGGACAGAGCCAGCATCGGGCCCGAGGAAAAGGTCTCTGACTACAAACACCCTCAAGATTTCACTGAAAGAAAGAAACACAAGTCTTTTCTAATAAATGTAAACTACTTGTGCATGCCGCCACATATTGTTACAGACAATACAATCCACCGCACCTGAAGCACGACTCTCCAGGAGCCTGCATCTGATTTCACAGATTAAAGAGAGAAATACCTTGCATATTTCTTCATGATAAGACTGCCCAGATAAAATGTTACACCGACCACTAAACCATTGAGCCAAGTTTTATCTATGCTTAAAATAAGAATGTAAACCTGCAAATAAAAACTAACGATGAAAGCATGAATATATAAAAGGTGTTACTCTTATCTTATTCATCTTACTGGGGTTGAGAGTTCTCTATTTTCAAACTTTCTATTCTTGCACCATACGCTCTACGTCAAGACATAAATTAGAGTTAGAGTTAATACAAAAATATAAGTCGGTTTACAGTGCGCAACAATGAGAAATTAATGCACAGATATTAAAATATGACCACTATTGCAGATTTACACAAAAAAACATGAGTAGTATAACATCTATATTTTGTCCTTAATTAATTGAAAATATAAGAAATTAATATACTAACGTGTCTCCATTTCCAAAGTGAGAAGAACAACTTATTGTCCTGGTATTGAGCTCATCCAGTTTCAAGTAGTGGCTTTGAAACGTAACAACACTGAGGACAAAGGGCTGAACATATGATAACAGCAGCAGCCAATAGAGACGCCCATGCCTGCAACTACAGGAAGTTTAGATTCCTTGAATGCATCTGCAGAATGCGCCGTAAGAGGAGGTTTCAAGGCGGTTAATGCCACCATGATTTATTACTGCCCGATACTTTGTTGCAAGTAAAAGTCCTGCTTTCAAAATATTACTCAAGTAAAAGTACAAAAGTATTAGCATAAAGTACTTATTATGCAGATTAGTCCATTTCAGAATAATATATATTATATGTTTTCATTATAATTATTGATGCATTAAAGTGTTCTCAAAGCTGGTAAAGGTGCAGCTAGTTTGAATGACTTTGTATACTGCAGGGTAGCTTGTGAATTTACTCCAGGTGTAACTAAAGTCTTATTTAAGTGTTGATTATATTTCACATTATTAAACCAAATTTTTAAAGTAACTCAAGACACAAAATGAATGTAATGGAGTAAAAGTACACAATTGACCTCTGAATTGTAGGATAGAAGTACAAAGTAGCATAAAATGGAAATACTCAAGTAAATTACAAGTATCTTAAAATTACGCAGTACTTGAGTAAATGTACTTAGTTACTTCCCACCTCTGGTTATAACAATATGATAACCTTTAAAAAGATATAAATCTGAAGAGGAACATTCTGCATAATGAACTTTACTTTTAATAATTAACTTTTTTCGAATGTGTTTACCATATAACCCTTATCTATAATAATCATTTGGCCTTGAAAGATAAGGGACTTTTTAAAAAAAATGCACCATCAGTCCTTATCTGATGCTTGCTTTACTTATGTTCATCAAAAGCTGAATAATGCTGCCTCGTTTAAACAAGCCCAACACATAATTGTCCAAAATACCCAACTATATTGGTCATTAATGTGTTGTTATTTTTAACATTAGGCCTAGTCCATAGACTGTATAAAGGCCTAGTCTAGTATATTTGTTTGTTCTGGCTTAATACAATAGTTTGTACTTGTTCTGAAAGCAGGAAATGTACTTGTCGTTTTTATTTACGTTGCTACACCTACTATGCGTCACTAGACTAGAGTACAGATTAAGTCACTTAAACCTGTCCAGCCTGCGGGTCCGGGATGACAAACAGGACAGAAAATGACCTTCATATTACCCATGTGTATTCAATGACATTACCTGATGGTTCTAGAAATTCAAACTCAATTGTAACCGAATAGGATTGAAATATTTCACCATTACTGAGATGTCATGTTGATGATAGTTCCATAATTAATACATACTTGCAGTGGCCTACAAAGTTCCTGTGGCTATAGTTACTGTTGGCACGGTGACGACGATGAAATAGCGGTTAGCTTCCAGTTTAGCCTTTGATACACTGAGTCTGAAACTAGCGGATCTTCCTTAATCAGGTCCATCTTATGCTGCCACCGTTATATCAAGTTATAAGAGTAGTTTGATAATAATGCACACTCACCAGAATCAATGAAGCGACAAGCCTCTCTCAACGGAGCGTTTAGTAAACAACAGATCTTTGCGCAGGCGTGCTAAACGATCCACGGACCAGGGGAAACTAATCGAGCAAGATGGCTGGCGAGAGTTCACCTTTGACTAAGGCACTTGGCATGGATGATTGTGGGGAGCAAGTGATGGAAATAATCAGCCCTGTCAAGTGTAAACAGTGGCGGCTGGTGGAAAATATTTTTGGTGGGGCTTTTGATATAGTGAGTAAAACATTTTTTTTTGGGAGAAATGACCCCTTAAATTAGGACTTCTGGTTTGATTGATTGAAAAGTGTATTAACAGCTTGTATATTGGGTACAGTACAGTACAGCTCAAAACATACAATTGTTAAGGGGATGCAGACCAGAGAAAGACTTTCGTCTTGTTTACATCAGGGTGCCCCATTTCCAATTCATCATGTATGTTCATGGTGATGTAATGGCGCGTTTCCAGTGCAGCGCGGAGCTCGCTTTAATGCTGCGTTCACACCGGACGCGATGCGAATATTCGCTTCGCTCTAAACGCTCCTATCGCATCGCTCTAGTCGCTCGAGTTTCACCGCGGCTGCCAGCTGTGTTTACTCGCATCATTCAAACAAGACGCGCTGGCTCGGGAGCTACAACTACAACAAAATGAACATATTTTACCGTGATTAAATTGTAATACACGTTTCTAAATGATGCCGACGTAACAACATACTGATACCGGTTAGTAAAAACCATGAATTAATGCTTTGACAAGTCTGCAGACAGACGGCAGGCGAAACACCTTTTAGAATGCTTGTTTTCTGAATGGAGCTTGGCTAAGTTAACGTTATATATGTTCCGACCGTCCACACTCACAACAACGGCCTATACAGACATAAATAAACCAGCGACTGTATTCTCCATGACACAGACAGTCTGTGGTTTGTACTTGTTTAACTTTTATCTAGTTTCTGAACAGATCGTATCTGTCCCCGCCCGGCTGTTTGAAGAGCAAGCATGGGAAACAAAAGATAGCATTTACCTGTTTGCATCGTTTGCATCCAGCTAGCCTCGTTGATACGTTTTGTCTTTTTCACGAGCTTGCTGTGATATATACAAATCGGGTTGGTCCGGTCCAAGGTCTTTAAGTATCAATTTATCTCCCAAACTTCTCCTTTGGAAAGGATTGGAGAGTAGCTCTTGCACGGAATTGGGTGCGGACCGAGGTCCGGCGACTCCACCTGCACACCATTCTAAATACTGCGTCACCTTGGTCACTCACGAGTCTAAAAAACAACTCACGTCACGTAAGCAACGTGGGCGCCAACGTGAGCGCCCTCGTGACCAAAATATTTGACGGCGCTGATTGGCTGAAATTATGTTTCGGCGGCACAGTTTACTATTGAGACTTTTGCAACGTGCTGGTTGCTGCTGTTTGTCTCGGGGGCTCCGCCTGGTAATGATAAACTAATGCCACGGGCAAGGCCAGGCAGGAAACATGTGACTTATCAGTAACTTTAGACATCGTAACACAATTTTAAACGAGATTTTATTGTAGATTATACATTTTACTGATACCAATTGTATGATATTTACCTTGTTCATTACAAATAAAAATATAAAATATATATATTTTTTAAATATATATTTTTTTAATTTAATATTTTTTTTAATATATTTGTTTTAATGTGGGAAGAGGTGGGGCGGCGCCCCTAGCGCCCCTATGGGCCGGCCGCCACTGAGTGTAAGGTATTTTCATTCAGATCACAAGATGTGTTGAAGCCTATGGTTAGTCGGAAGAATAAATTGTGATTATGTGAGTTTAATTTCGATATTTGCAGTTGTGTAAAGTAACTAAGTAGATGTACTCAAGTATGTACTTAATTACAATTTTGAGATACTACTTTAATGCATCAATAATTATAATCAAAACATATATAAGTCTGAAATGTGACCGATCTGCATAATGAGTAGGTTACTTTTACTTTTTGGAAATGTATATTTTGATGCCATTACTTTTGTACTATTACTTGAGTAACATTTTTAATGCAGGACTTGTACTTGTTACAGAGTCTCCTCTCTGTTATTGGATATTGAATATATTTCTGAGTTGTCTGCAGTCACATCCAGCCCTCGCTTTTTTTTTTTTACCACAAGGTTTCACTTAGGAACCAGCAATACATTTCAGTTTGAAGCTCACAAAACCAATGCTATTTTCATTACTTCCGTGCTAACATTCTCATTTAAGTGAATATTATGCAAGGAAGTATAGTTAAAGTGTCTTGTGTGGCACAACTTTTTAGATAACCCATGTTTTGATTAAACATAAATATTTTAGTAAAAGATCATTTCAATGTTGTAATAGCGTCCATCACAGTGACTCTAAATCAATACCACATAATATTATTAATATAGTAGTTATGGGAAAATCAAATCCTGCTATTTATTCCACCGCTTCTGTGGAGTAAACAATACATTGAAAACGTTTGGGAAACATCAGACAGGCTTGTGGGGTGGATGCAGGGGCGGATCTACCGGGGTGGCATGGGGTGGCAACTGCCACCCTAAACAATAGCCTTGCCACCCCAGCTGCCACCCCAGTTGGCATCTTTGTTTTGAAAGAAAAGTTGTGGCTCATCGGACATTTATGAGAGAAAATCTCTAATGTCCGAGTGCAAGTGAATGCAGCACAAGACGCGAGTCTTGTAACCCCTCCCCTGGCGCGAGAGTGGAAATATGATTGGTGGCGAATTCACTTGAACGGGGGGACGGCGCAAAACGAGAAGCCTTTCGGACTCAAGTAGACGGAAGGAATGAGGTGTTTGCGTTCTACAATGACAGAGAAGAGAATGTCAAGTTTGGCTGTACTCAGCAATGAATCAAAACGCACTACAGCTGTTGATCTTAATAAGTTTGTGAGGCGTTTTGCTGAACAAGATGGTAATCGCCGCATTCAGCTGTAATAGGCATGCCAACTTGTTGCTCTGCTCACGGATGACTCGATGAGCATACAAAACTGTTAAGATGATGACCTTGTATGCGTGTATATTTTTTTTTTCTTTGTAGGGTTCTGCCCTCAAAAAACTGTTTTAAGTCCTGAGAAAGTAAAATAAGACGGTGTGTAAAACTACACTGCCCAGCCAAAAAAAAGTAACCACTTTGATTTAACTAGGCCAGTAGGTAAGGACTTTCCACTGGATAATAACTGCAGCGATGTTTATGTTTTAGCTGAATACACGTTTTTTAAGCCTAACTGATGCAGTTAGTCACTTCTTTAATATTTGTTCTTTCTGATGTAAAGTCAAGGTTGTAACTGTATATCAATAATGATATAATTACTTGTTTTTCAAATT